TGTTGTGTTTCCTATCATATTGCGCTGGAGTGCAGAGAGCAGCACTTCTCAAAGCAAAGATCTGTGGTCAGCTGACGGAAGTGGAATAACTGTTTTTCAAATAACAATGTCTATCAGCCGATTCCACTTCCTGTTGAGGTGTATTAGGTTTGATGACATAAATTTACGAGCAGAGCGAAAGATGACGGCTAGACTTGCACTTATTAGAAAGGTTTTTGAAATATTTACCAAAAACATACGGAAAACATATTCTTTATCTGAATATTGTACTATAGACAAAAAATTAGAACCCTTTCGAGAAAGGTGTCAATTCAGACAATATATAAAAGTAAGCTCCCAAGATCTGGAATAAACACTTTTGCTTTGTGCGATTCTCATACATTTTACGCATACAACCTAGAAATTTATGCAGGTCGGCAGCCTGTCGGACTATATAGACAATCAAATGTGGCACTGGATGTTGTACAAAGACTTATTGCACCCATAAGTGGCACTGAAAGAAATATAACTATGGACAATTGGTACATGAGCATTCCTTTGGCCAATGAATTAGTGAAAAAGCACAAATTGACATGTTTTGGGACACTTCGAAAAGATAAGAGTGAAATTCCAGAAGAATTTCTGCGAAATAAATCGGTTCTTGTTTTATCATCCGTGCATGAGGATAATTAAATCGAACCATTGTCTAAAGAGCAGCTCAAGCTCGAAATGATAACTTTTTGAAACTCTACAAAAGGTGATGTTTATACTGTTGATGAGTTATGTGGAACTTGGTCTGTTTCAAGAAAATGCCGCTGCTGGCCTCTAACGGTATTTCTCAAACTAATGAACACTGCAGGTATAAATGCTTTTATTATTCATCGATCAAATAACGACCAAGTGAATATGAACCGAAGAGCTTTTCTCAAAGATTTAGCATTAGAGCTTGTAAAAGAACATGTCCTAAAAAGGGTTGCAATCTCTCCGAAAAACTCAAAACTGGAGTGTAAAAAGGTTTGGCAGGAATAGAAGATGCAGCAGACCTTCACCCTAAGAAATTGTTTGTAAAAATATGTTGTCACACTATGTGAGGATAGTTCAAAACGAGATTATTTGAGTAATAAACACAGCTGGGGGGGGGCATAAAACCTATGTGTTATTTATATTTTGTAATATTCGTATTTAGAATCTATTCTTTGATATGAATAATTGTATGACATTATATTGAGTTTTAAAGAAAAAAGCTAGTAAAAATGCAGCCTTTTGTATTCCTCTAGTGCTTTATCAAACCGCTCTTTATAATAAACAGTTATAAAAATATATACATACGAAAACTGATTTTTCTAATGTATCTTATATAAGTCAGTAATTTGCATAAATTTCGATTTTTATGGCTTACTTTAGGTAACTAGTATGGAAATGTTTGTATAACTTAAAGTAAAATTATCTCGAATTAAAACTGTAACAAAGCATTCCAAAATATTGCATTTAATATTTATTTGCAGTATAACTAGTTTTTATTTATTTGTATATTAAAAAGGTCATATTAAATAAAAAAATAAACATCTTAGCTTGAACTTGCTAAAAACGAACTTTGCTCATTTCCAGTGGATGTTATTTTTACGGGTTTGATAAACATTATCACCATAATTACCATATTATGAAAAAGAATACTTAAATTGGATAATCAAACAGAATTTTGTAATTAATACAAACTACATTTATTTATACAAATCCTTCAAAATCTGAGTTATGAATGTGTCAAAATTGAATAAACTTGACAAATTAACATCAAGGTCACTTTCATCATTCTATTCCAAATCACTTCTTTCAGTGATTTACATTTTTCATTTTCTTTTATAGTTTTAGATAAGTCAGCTTCGCATCCATTTCTTTTTTTCCATTGCTTTTGTAGTTCGTACTTGAAAATTTTTATTGATGGTAGATCCAGCGGTCTAAAATTTTTTAAGTTCACTTGGTATCCATAGACACCAACCCGGCAGCAAGACTTGTCGGTAGTCAACGTATGAATGACATTTTTACAACTTTGAAAATGTGTGCTTAAGACATATGTTTTAATTAACCATTCATTAATTTTTAAATTAATCATAAATTGTAATCAGTTTTATTACATTTAAAATCCATATTTATAAAACTAAATACTTAAAAATGTGTTTTGTAAATTTATGCAATTTAATTAGAAATTTTCTTTAACTCTTCAGCGTGTATATCACTAATCTAAATATGACTCGATCAAAGTATTTTTTAAATTAATAATCATAAAAAAAAAATCCAAAATCCATATATCTCGTTTTTTTTGATTTTTCCCCAAGGTAAAAAAAATAAAAAAATATAATGACTAATATAAAATTAAAAAACTTAATTTTAAAATTATGAATGGAAGATTTGTATGTAGCACGCTTAAGCTCTGATTTTAAGGATTTTTTTTTTTTCCCCCATAACACAGTTTTTCAATCAAAACTGCTTCGAGAATTTCAAGACTTAAATTTGGTCGAAATTCAGTCTGATTTTTTTTAATAATAGTAAAAATTCTTTCACAAGTTACATTTGAATGAAGTATTATTAAGACAGCAAGCATTACAATAGGCAGTACTTTGTATTTAATATACCCATTCATGTCTTTTAATTTGGCAATTTCTCCCCGTGCTATACTAATATGCAAATCTGCAATTTCTTTCAAATTATTTGTTTGATACATGGAAAACCCAATTTCCACTTGATTAAGATATTTTTCATTAATAATGGATGGGAAAGTATTCATCAAGATAAGAACAGATGAAAATGAAACTTCAGTTTTCAAGTTGATGTCCGTGGCCGTGTCCGAACATTTTTCGACGGCAATGTTCTACTTCAAATTGTTCCATCTTTTCAAACGTAAAAATCATCTGATGTCAAAGAAGATATGCTCCCTAAATCATGTGAATCATAATATTACAGGTCAGAATCGGTTTCGTGAGCACTTTAAGAAATATTAACGCACTCAGAATCGGAATCTTCAATTTCGCTATCAGTTTCAACACTAGCGAGAAGAACCCGCAGTCGTTACTGATCTCGCTCGTACGGACTCATCTCAATGAAAGTCTCACTAGAAGTGAAACGTTAGTACACGCACGGGGTAGCTACAATCCCACTGCACGTTCAATCCCCGAAAATACAAAATCCCAAGGACACGAGAAAAATTCCTCTGGACGACCCCTTCCTAACCTTGATAGGTACATGAAGTACTAAAAAGGTCACATACGACCTTCCCGTATTTTCTAAGAATAGACTATACATGGGGTGGATTTTACCCCAGAGCGTGTGCTGATGGGTTAATTGTAAATTATATTCGAGACATCTTTTTTTATTTAAATTGTATTTTTAATTGTTTGGTTTTGATATGTTGATAATGCTTTCCGACTTACGATAAATATCGATAGTTCGAGGATCTACTCAACAGTAACAACAGCAGCAAAACTGTAAACTTTGATCCTATAAGTAACTTTTATCTCATTATTTTAATACGTAGTGTTTTCTATCGTGATTGCACTTGATAATATGAGTTCTCTGATAATATGTGTGTGTGTATGTGAAGCATTGCTAAGTGTTCCAAATTTGTAGTATTTATTTTCTTATATTATTTTCTTTCATTGCAAGAAATCAGATTTTTTTTTTATTATTTATTAATGGGTAGAATTCTAGTATGTCTACAGAGAATATGGCATGATTTAAGAATTTAAGCAACTGATATGAAAGCTGTGTATAATGTTCATATGGAATAAAAAATATTTCTCTTTTTTTTATTAATGTAAAGTTTAAAATTTTTAGAAAATAATGAAAATTGTCTAGTTACTGGTATGTAAGAGATTATGTTGTTATGTAGCAATAAGGTAATTTGTAAAAATGATAAAATTGAAATGTTCCACAATATGAATTTAAATTTAAAAAATCTTTTTTTGTATAAATGCTGAAGCTTAAAAATCTTTGAATATACTGAAGCTGTATGAAATACAAGTATTAGAGAGTGCGACGTTGTTTATCATTTTAATAACTGGCCGAATTCGCTTACTGTATCATGGTAATTTTAAATATAAACAATTTATTATACTTGTTTTCAGTAACACCTAAGCATAAATGTTAGAAATGTAAATTTTATGTAAAAAATTTTATGTTAATTTACAATAATAAACAATTCATTATTGTTATATTTTAGAAAAAATAGAAAGTATGTGTAGCGTTAATGCTAGAATACATTGTGACGTCACAAGCTTATTCCCACCCATTTATGGATGTCACTTAAGCTTCCCCTTCTCAACTTTGTTAATGCAGCCTTTTTTAAAATTACATCCTTTTAACCTTAATCATTTTCATTAATCATTCCTTAATATTTTTTTCTTTTAACAATTTCTATTACCCACAATTTCTAGTGAAATCAAGATGGCCACCATTTTTTAAACACGGAGTTTCGGTGAAAATCTTGATGGTAACCATTTTTGAAAACAACGTATTTCACGTGCTTTGGCACCAAAAACAATTCGATGAAATCTGAAGATGGGCTATACTGAAGCTGTTTTAAATACACATAGCTTGAGTACATGCTTAACATTATTTTCTCTTATAACTGCCTGTTTCTTATAAAATCTTTTATTATTATTAATAGACAGAACAGTTATGAGAAGCAAAACGGATGTTTTTCCACCAGTTTACTAATGAGTTGCAGACTCTTAATGGAGGATGCAGATAATCATAATAACATAAATTATAGGCACAAGTTTAATCTAGTATAAATATTAAAATATTTGGTACTCTTCTGTTCTCAGGATTAGATTCAGAAATGTATGTATGTATACACAAATACATATGTATGTACATGCATACATGAACACATACATTCATACATTTTTGAATCAGGTTCTGATAATAGAAGAGCACTACATATTTTTTCAAAGATATATACAGAGTATCCATAAATTAAATACATCATCATTCAAAAGTACTTTCAATTTAAAATACTGAAATACCTTTTCATCATCACGCTCAGGACTGAGAGGATCATCATTCACATCAACATTACGACGCTTTGAAAGTCCTTCATCTTTCTTCTGTTTACGCAATTCCACATTTACTTCAGTTCTTCGACGGCGCATTGCCTAAATTAAAAACTTCTATTAACACACACTTAGCAAATAATACTTATAGCATAAATCTCAGATCAGACGTACAACTATGAAAGAATTTCTAATTATATATGTAACACCATTAAAATTTTTTTAAAAATTCTACATTTCAAATTTTGGAAGAGAAAGTAGATCCCATGTTTAGTATCAAAAGCTCAATATAAAAATCTGGGTGCTATATATAGCACCCAAATTTTGATTAGTCAAAAATTTTTAATGGTAGATAAAACAGCAATTGAATTTTATTTATACAGAACAAATTACGAAATCCAGAATCGTCAGAACTTTGGCAATTCCAGAAATTTCTAGATCAGTTTAAATCTAGTAAGATGACATGTAGGCATGGCAACATTGCAGCTTTTTTTTTTTTTTTTTTGTTACGTTAGAAGAATGGGCTCTACTCTAATATACGCCTTAAGATCACCAAATGTGACTATATGTATTATACAGTCAAAAGTCGTTAATTCAGACACCCATAATCCGGACCTCAAAGCTAAAAACTTTCTGCACATGCGCCGTGTTGACACATGCGCATAGGCGTTTACGACTGCACATATGCGTATGCTCAAGCGCAGAATACGTTTTCACGCGCGAGTTTTATGTATAACTGACGGTATAAGCTAAAATTATCTATGTATCTATTTCAGTTAATGTTGATGATTGCGTTGTTCCTTAATCTTCGAATTGGATCGGTTATTATTTTTTGCAGACTGCAAGAGCAATTTATAAAGTAAACTTGAACTTTCGATTATGTCAAATAGAATTTCCGATGCCTAGAGCTCCCAAAGGATCTACAAAACGAAAGTATGTTTCAATGTCCATCAAAACAAAAAGTGAATTGCTGCAAAAATTGATAAAGACATGAAGAAGGTGACAGAGAGGTTAGTGAAAACGAAAAAAATTCGATTGACAAGTTAGTTGGTATTCTCGGCACAGCAATTACGGGACTTGAACAGCGAAACTTTGTAACTGAACAAGAAATTATGTCTGTTTATAGAATTAAAGAGAAAGTATAAAGAGGAAACGAAGCAACTTAAACAACTTACATTGAAGGAAATGTTTATAATAAAGTAAACAAATAAATATTAAGTTTTTTTTTTTTTTTTTTTTTTTGTAAATTTTGATACTCTTTAGATAATAATTGTTCTTTATTTCATAAATTATGCTTTCATATTTTTAATTTTAGAATTTCTGCATGACATCTTACGAGATTTAAACTGATGATCTACAATCTGGAAAAATCGATAATCGAATCGCCGAAGTCCCGACGAGTCCGGATTAACGACTTTTAAACGTATGCGCTGGTTTTTGGTGCAAATGCATGCTATGGGATGGTTAGTGGGATGATGCTGTTCGTATGGCAATCCTTTTAACTTTGAAACTCTTTTGCTGTACTAGTTTAATTGCTCATTGTTTCGTGTCGTGCGTGTTTTGAATGTTGCAATGAGAGATGTGGTGGCAAGGTTTCAGTCACGTATTTTAGATTGTGTGCAAAGTAAATTTAGTATTAAAAGGTACAATGTTGGAGTTGTTAACGAGTCTTTTGTTCACAGGTGTGTTTATGCAGATCGAAATGCATTTTTGGAATTTCTGGGAAAGTCGGGACTTTTAAAACGGAGTTTGGCGTGTCCGAAATGCGTAGCTGATGTGAGAACTCAGACGAAGAATGGTATTTCTGATGGACTTATGTGGGCTTGCAGTCAAATTGTTGCTGGTAAAGTATGTGGCTGTCGGCGGAGTTTAAGATTTGGATCGTGGTTTTCGTGTAGTAAGTTAACTTTTATTGTTAACTTACAATTAAACAATTAACTATTGAAGGAATATATACAATTAACTATTGGAGGAAGTTTTTATGGTTACTTTCGAAATTTTGAATCGCAGAAAGACGTAATATAGCAAAATGGTGGCACTTTTGTTCACAGACGTGTGACTGGCAAAATTTTATTCACGGATGTATTATGGTGTCTTTATTTTATACAATGTTATATTCATTGTTTTATTACTATGAATTTCTGTTGTTATTTGAATTGTTTATAATTTATTTTAGTTAATTTTGTTGATTTGTGCCCAATGCCTAGATTGTGCAATTTGTAGATTTTTTTAAAGTTTAAACAGAATGTTGTGTATATGGATTCTGTGTCAAACATTTTTAGTTAGAAACTTTACATTTTTGGTATCTAAAGTTTTTGTTTCGGATTCTTAGCTTAAATTGTGTGTTCAAAACGTGGTTTTTGCATGTGCGAAAACCGCAATTTTGAAGACATTTTAGGCTTAAAGTTTGAAATGTAGACAAAAAATTTAGATAGTAATAGGGCACCGTGAAATTTCTCGCCAAACATTTTTGGTGAGAAATTTGGTTGATCTTTACATTATGGTAACTTGGCGATTTTTTGGCGACCAACTCTCCTACGGCAACCCTCTATTTTTTTTTTCCTGCCACCATTTTGTCTTCACAAAGTAAAGACGTTTCTTTTCTTTTTATCTACTGAACACTTCTTCCAACAATCTACTAGCCGAATTACACTTATGCTAGAAATTTTATCTAACAAAACTGCTTAATCATGACAAATATTCACTGCAAAATTGGGAAAAAGTGCACAATAGCAAACTCCTTGTGCGTTTTTCAAAATAACACGTACACGAACCATGTACACGTCGACTTATTTTACTTAAAAAAAAATCCCAGAATTGCAAAAAATGGCATTGCGCACACTCTTCACTATATCCATGTACACCGCTTTTTTCTCATAATTAGAAAATTTCACGAAAATGCATGACAATTTTTTGAATCTTTTAAAACCCGGTAAAAAAAAACATATATGAAATTACATGATCGCGAAAAAGTATATACCCTTTCCAAATATGAACATTCCACGTATAAAATAAAAAATATCCAAAACTTTACCTCTACATTATCTATTATATTACAAACGTCACCAACTAATTCATACCGCAAACATCACAATGGTTACAATGCTTAGTGTCAAATATTTAAATTATTTCCATGCACATTTACTTCCACTCTAACGTATACCAAATTCCTACAAAGATAATTCACAAATAACTATCATTTAATTAAAATATAATTAAATTCAAAAACACTACTTAAAAATAAAATAATCCTAATAACAATTTTACAATAATACCATATTATTTTATTTACTCCTTACATTTAGAACAATGCATAAAAAATATATCCTCAAATAATTAAAAACTACTTACCTAAATCTTCTTCAGAATCTTGATTACGTATCCGATAACTTTTCTTATTTCCTCTGCTAAATAAAAAGCAAGCGTATGTGCGCCTGTTCAGATCTTTAAAATCATACTTTGTTCACAGCAAGTACCAGTAAAAAAATAACTTAATAAAACATCTTACTTCGATCTCGCACACCTTAAAGAAACATTTTTACTACCCCTTCAATCCACAAATACCCATTTCGAATTCACTTTAGTTAGGGCCATGGGATCCAAAAAATTAACGAACACTGTTTCACACAACCAGAATAAAGTAAATACAGTCAAAAGTCGAATCTGGACTCGTCGGGACTCGGCGATTCGATTATAGACATCAGTTTAAATCTCGTGTGCAGCAGAAATTCTAAATTAAAATATGAAAGTAATTTAAAATAAAGAATCTGGTATCAAATTTGCAAAAAAAAAAGCTTAATATTTTTTTACTTATTAACATTTCGTACTTTTCCGTTTCACCGGCGCAAATCTCGCCAAGCAGACTTTGTTGGCGACAACATACAGTATACACATAAAAAATGTTAATTCTAAGAATTTTTTTTTATTTTGAAGGCATAAACATTTTAATATGGTTTAAAATTTTGTAAAAAGCCAATAAATAAAGACAATAAATTTGTAAAAAAGACATTAATTTAAGAATTTACTATGATTTCATGGTTCAAAATCCTGATTCGCCGGTTCGTTCGTATCACGTGACCCCAAGTGATCTCATCTCACGTAAACTACGCTACTAAAAATCTAATTCGCTCAGTAATTATCTACATTAATTTCAAGTTAAATCTTAATTTGGAATACAAGTTTAAATGCAAGAATTATTTCAATTCGTACGAATAGCTTACTCAGAAATTATGTAAAAACCGCAGTGCTTTACTTCGCTAGTGCATTCTCATTAGAATTGATGAATTTAACACTTGATTTCGCCTTCGGATGAGCGGTGTAATTGCGTTCTAATTGACTTTAATTACCGTGAATTGTCTTAGGGGATAAAATTTAAATATCGTGTAAAAAATTCTATATTATTGTATGCCAGTATTGAAAGAAACAATCTGATAAGAAATGGCTTCAACTTGTTTTGAAACTGAGGCGTAAAAGGTTACCAGCGAAGATATTCCGTCTGGCATCAGTTAAACCATTATTGGCGACTTTATCGTTTGCGCCGGCAAAACGGAAAAGTACCAACATTTCTTCATGTAAGTTTTAAGTTTTTTTCGTTTCATGGATAATACTTTCTCTTTAATTCTATTAAACAGATATTTCTGTTATTAAAATTCCGCGTTCAAGTCCTATAATTGCTGTGTCAAGAACACAGACTAATTGTCAATCGAAATTTTTTGTTTTCATAACCTCTGTCACTTTTCTTCGCTATCGGAAGCGAATTATAATGACGAGGAACTTGTTTTAAATCATATCAAAGACGGAGCATATCGAGATGAAATACTACATTTGGTAAGGAATTATAAGCCAAATTAAAAACATCTGCGCTGAAGATAAGGATAGTGCTGACAAATCAACTTCCAATTCATTAGGCTCCCGCCGCCTAGCAGCGTGAAATTGATAAACAGATTTCGGATTTCAAAACATACTTTCGCTTTAGATCCTTTACATATTAACAAATATATATCGGAAATTCTATTTGATATAATCGAAAGTTTAAGCTTGCTCTTACAGTCTGCAAAAAATAATAAGCCGGATGCAATTTGAAAATTAAGGAACAACGCAAT